CGATCTCTTGTTGGCAGACAGCACGTCAAGATCTTTCTCGTTGACTGCCTGCGGGTTAACTGCAGAAGGTAAATTCCCATTCGCTAAGTGCTGTAGGTGGCGCCTCTTACCTGTGAAATACTGTCCAGGAATATCCCTTGGTTCACCAACTACAGTGGCATCCGCAAGCGAGTGGAAGCGGTGATAATCTGAAGGCGCAAGGCGGAATGATGCGAGAGAGCCACCTTCAAGCGCCTTGCAGAGCGGGTCGGATTTGTCTAGTCCTAAGAGGGCGGGAACTGTGAATTCGTCCCCCTTAATCCAAAAAGTCTGCGCATCGTGCACCGCAGGGTATACGACAAGTCGGCTGTCCGCGACGCTGCAGAATTCATGATCAGGGTTCTGCACAGGGCGGGCTCCAGGCTTGAGTTTCCGGTAGAAGAAGTCATTGAAATTCTTGTATGCTGGGCTTTCGGGCGGATACAGCAGCTCGCTTGTTTCGATATTGTAGGTGTGTATGAATGACGGGATGTGATTTCTAGACTCGGGCGAGTCATAGATCTGCCCCTCACGTTTGCTCTGCTCCTTCAGGAGTTCCTCGATGCGCTTGCTTCCTTCCAAGAGCTTGACTTGCTCCCTCCCATAAAATAAGATATGCATGCCCAAACGCGCATAAATCGGCATGCTTTCAAAAATTCGTTCATTGGTGCCTCTGATTGCGACGTAGTTGCCGGCGTGATACTTGGCTGCCAGGGATTGCAGCTGAGGCACGAATTTGTTCAACCAGGAGTGGTGGCCAGGCGCAAAGTGATGTAAATGGCCATGGATGCCCTGAGTGACGTCGTTGCGATTATCAGCATGTCGAGGATTGGAGCGCTCTACGCTCTCTTTGAGAGCCTCAGCAATCTCGCCATCCAACATCTCCATCCCTTGCATCCCTACTTGGCCGGAACCCTCAACACCACCTGGCTTATTGAGTTCGGATTCATTCAGCTGTGCCATTGTTGCGATAGAAGAAGAGTAAGACAGTGGTTGAACAATGTGGAAGTCGGGTGTCAAGATAATAGATTCGATTGATTGGACACTAGGGTAGTACTTCAATATTCAATAGCACTACCGGACCTGGATGTCCAGTTTATAGAAGGAGGGATATGACATTAATAGGACGTCAAGTACTATAGTACTACTCCTAACTTACTCATTTTCACAATCCTCACTGCATCTAACAGGGACTCCAAGTGTTAACGTTTAGCCCCAGTATACCACTTCAAGTCATGGCTGGTGACGAGACTATTATACTGGTGGCCAGGGTCTCACAACCCTAAAAAATTACGTGTGGCAAAACTTTCCTGGACCTGGCGGTGAACCTGACATTTTAAAAGGGCGGTCGGGCTGTCTCAGGAAGACATCGAAGGACTCGGGAGCAACAGTCGAATATCCGGGCCCACCTCCTGGCCAGTAGTGAGTCACCTGTTTCAAAGTTTTGGAAAAGGACATTGCAACAGCAAGCGGTCGGCCCATCTGTCAACTTGAACCTTGAGGGAGTTTTAGCCGACTTGGGCATTGCCGCGCCCTTCTAACGGCGCGATCGCTGCAAACGCCGTGTCGACGGTCCTTAGCGCTTAGGCGAAGTGTTTGTTGATTCGAAAGACCACCATAATCCTCGAGAAATCATGGATATGTGCATGATCCATGATATTTTGGATATTTTACATTGTCAGGTGCAAAGTTTATTCAAGTTGAACTCAGTGCTGACGAGCATGTGCATTGAAGGGATGGCCATTTTCGTGTCTGGTTCCGACTACATATCAGAATACTCTGGTGGGAGGACACATGGGCTACCGTTGCCATATTATCATGATATGGTCCAGCGTACCTGGTCAATTCCTTGGTTCACTCATCTTGCAGTGCGTACCATATCATTTGACCTTACTATGCTACTTGTATAGAATGATTGAGCCTGGCTCACAGCTTGAAGCCGGGCCGTGCACATTACTAGTCCTGTTTCTGCTTGACTTTGGTTCAAGGAAACAAGGAAACAAACACATCTCATGGTCTGCACATATGAGCATACTATTTGTCATCGCACGGGTTGTGTGACCCATGAAAAGCTGATGATCCGGATGATGATAACTGGTATAGTTCGACCGATTACAACGACTCACCACCATTTCCCTTGGCGCAGCCGCTGAGACTTCTGCGTCTGGTGGCCGCCTAAATTCACCAGTCGCAGAGTGCATATTATTCCAATCTTATGATTCGGTGTCGGTCTCAACTTGAGCTTGACAGGCGCCTTTTTGAATAAGACAAGGGAGGTCAAACGGCGTGTCGTGATGTCTGAACCAGAATAAGTAATGCCGAAACTTGGCCAGCACGTACTACTCGGATCTAGTTGAATGCACGGCGCGAGGTACCTAGTTGATCGATAATTAAGTCCTTATAGTTCCGAAGTGGAATTAATTCATGTCATTAATCTTTTGTTCTTTGCCAATTGCAACAGTCGACAGAGACGAATGTTGGACGAATCAGTGTAAGCCTCGTCAATTATCTATCTCCCAGATATTCTTTCACTTTGGGAGTCTTTGACACTCGAACTAGATAGGATATTGCTTTCGCTGAGACCATGATGAAACAACTTGAAGAGTCTCTAGAAACCTGTGCGTGAGTGCCCAAGGCTGTTGTTCATTGTCTCGGATCAAACGTTGGTAATACTAATGACAGGCTCACCGTTCCATAGAATTTGAGTTTCTTTGTCTTCCACGAGTTTGAGTTACACTTTACACACGACAACATGTCATCCCCTGATCTTCGCTGCCCGATCAAATCAGTCACACCGGGCCTTTATAACGCCATGTCTCAAGACTCTCAACGGTACATAATCTACAGGAGAAAATATAATCTTTCTCCTGGTAACGAGTGCGATCACCGTCCTTCTGTTCTTCTTGGTCGCACCTTCTTCTGCTAGCGTTGCTGGTGGTGACGAGGCAATTCAATATGTTCATTAAGAATGTTACGCAGGGCTTTCCGACCATCACTGGCATACGATGGTTCAACCTTTCTGTCCTTGTTATCACACCAGCTCTTTCGTTGTACGGCTTGACTTATGTTCCCATCCTTCGGAAGACTGTTGTTTGCACTACCCTCTATTACATTTATTCCATGCTTGGTAGGTGTTCTGCAATAGTCGCTTCTTCCGACTGCTGAATTTGCTAACAGGCATAACTGCTGGTGAGTGGTGGTGATAACCTTCATGGGATATAATCAGAACGTGCCGCTCCAGGGTACCACCGGCTTTGGTCACACAGGTCATATAACGCTTCGTTCCCTTTGCAGGTATTCCTCATCCTTGCAGGGGCGAGCGCAGTGCAAGGCTCGTGTTATTGGTGGGCACGCCGGCACCGTTCTCATCACAGGCATACCGACACGGACCTTGACCCGTACAACTCAGAACGAGGCCTCCTCTGGACGCACATCGGATGGATTATTTTCGAGTCGGACTTGAAACCTGGGCCAGCTGATATCTCTGACTTGAGCAAGGACCCTCTCGTGCAGTGGCAGCACCGATGGTACTTTGTCATCCTGACTATTTTCGGATACTTGCTTCCAATGGTCATTCCCGGCTTGTTGTGGGGAGATTGGAAAGGCGGATTCTTTTTCGTTGGTGCATTTCGTATGACTGCGTGTCATCATGTGAGTTCTGTGTTTTTCATCCAAGACAAAACTTGACCTGAGTCCAGTGCACTTTTTGCATCAACTCCATTGCTCACTATCTCGGGACCACGCCGTACGATGACAAGCATACTCCCCGCGATCATCTTTTGTCCGCTATTCTTACTATGGGAGAAGGGTACCATAACTTCCACCATCAATTTCCCATGGACTACAGGTAGCAGTTGACATCCATTGCGCTGTTCTCAACGTCATTTACACAACTCGCGGCCTTTTCACCAGGAATGCATTCCGATGGTATCAGTATGACCCTACCAAGTGGTTCATCAGTGTCTGTCACTATATCGGTCTTGCCTCCCATCTCCGCGTTTTCCCTAGCAACGAAATTAAAAAGGGCGCACTCACGATGAAGATCAAGGCTCTCAAGGACGTCCAGGACTCAATTGAATGGCCTGTACCTCCGCAAGAACTCCCTGTGGTTTCGTGGAAGACTTGTGAGTGACACCATGTTGGCACGCGTTCAATTGTTGCTAATCAATCTACATCGCGTTTTGCAAATAGTCCAGGAAGAGTCCCAGTCTCGGACCCTTCTCCTCATCTCAGGTTTTATCCACGACGTGTCAATGTTCCTTGATAGCCATCCGGGAGGACCCGTTTTACTCACACGAAACTCTGGGAAAGACATGACGGCATCTTTCTTTGGCGGTGTCTATGCTCACTCTCACGCAGCGCATAACGTGCGTACCATGGTACTGTTTGCGTATCCAATGATGCTAATGACTGACTCTGATCCTCCGTTGGCCGCTGTGAATTTACTCTCGCGTGTTACGTCATGTAGCTCCTTGGGATGATGCGCGTGGGCATTCTAGCAGGTGGTGTGGAGGCGCCAGCAGAGCATGCCATCCCACCCAGTCAGCGACTGGTCATCCGCGCTAACACCTCCCATTAATGATACAGCTGCCTGACACAAATGGCTCGAGTGTTATTGGTTTCGGGAATCTATGGGTCGACAACTATGCCTCATGTGGCTGGAATTGGAGACCGTGGCGGTGCGCGCTCAGGAGCAGCTTGAAAAAAACATTGACTTCGCAAGTGTTAAAGTTCTTGTGGGCATTGTGTGGGCACATATGTGCTTTCCCAAAAAATATTCTTGAATATTCTTGAAACCTGTTGCATACCAGTGGTTTGTGGATCAGTAATTAGATCATAGATGTTTAAACGTTTACCAGCTACTAGTAGCTCGTCTCCGGACCCGATACACTTAAGACACGACAGTCGGTATCTTGCACTATGTAAGGCACAATAAAGGCAAGTTAGGTTTGAAGGGCAACGAAATGGGCAAAAAATATATCTGCCCACTGGCTGGATTGAACAACCGACCTCATCATCTCTCAGATCTGATGATCCATTACAAGTGACGCGCTCTACCACTGAGCTAAGCGGGCTTGTATATTCACTTCATGTGGTTGCACATAACGCGCCCTGCATTGGTTCAGTAGCAACCCCGCATTAAGGGGAGTTCACAGACTCACAGTTGCGTTGGCAAGGCGTTCAGAGCTCTAAAGAATGAGAATGAAAGGGTTATGCACGTAACAGACGGCCTGGAAACATTGGCGTCTGATGTGTTAGACAAAACTCGTGAAAAATAAGGCTGGGAGCATATGAGACTTGTCGCAGCACCAATCGCAGGGCCATCAGCACCTATTTCCATATATGGAGCGTGCTGCGGTATGGTGCTGCGGTGTGCTGCGGTGTTGCTGCGATCAGTGCTGCGACACTAATACTTGATGGAAAATGTTAGCCTCAGGTCGTTATAGTATCAATGCATCTTTCAGTACTCAGTGGTTACCGGTTACCGGTTATTTCTCGTATCAAATGGCAGACTCACGCACGTGCAATGTATATTACTTCAGTGGTGAGTACTTGAGTTTTCACAACATCATCGTGATGCATATGCTAGACAAGCCTGAGTAGCTTACTTATATCTATTGGTTCATGGTACCAAGCACGAGTGAGATGAATTAATGACGCCACCATATGCATGAAGCAAGCATCGTTCTTTCACCAGGTCAGCCTGTCCGAATCAGCCTGACCAGAATCCAGATCTTAGAAGGCCGATTCAGGGGTCTGAAATCTGATGAACAAAATTGAGCTTTCAGTGCTGCAGTTCAAGATACAAAGGACCGCTCAAGTTCGAGGCTCTGATAAATGCGCCGTACATGCCAGTGAGCATAAGAATTATGATACATGGTGGTCAACAACAAACAAGTTGCAATACTTATACTTTATGTAATTCAAGTTTGGAACGTCGGACGAACTCTAAAACGTTGGTCAGCGAAGTGACCAAGGACGACAAATTTGGCCAAGTTGGATTATGTAATATTAAGATGAAGGCATGATGAGGGGTAGACTTACTGCCATTGTTCTAAAGCCTTAACTCGCTTATAAGCACTGGTGTCTTGAATAATAGATCGCGGTACATACCGTTGAGTGGATATTCTGCCCGAAGGACACGGCCTGACGGTAGCTCCTACCACTGCTCCCCTCGCCAACGCAACTGTGAACTCCGGACCAAATTAAATAGATTGGGGTTAGGGTTTTGGATAGTTTAAATAACGCTCCGGGCAGTTGTCACCGCCAGTGCCAGTACTCCCGTTCCACGAGATTTCTCCCAGAGGCAGCTTGAAGCAATGGGTAATGTTCTATCTTGGGTCATCGACGCAGCACCTCCAAAGGCCGCTTTTTCCGTTGACCAAATTCCAGACCTAACAGGAAAAGTAATTATTGTGACTGGCGCCAACACGGGTATCGGGAAGGAGACTGCGAAGGTGAATTGCTTTTTCATGAACGAAGTCGAGGGTGTGTTGACGTGGACTCCAAGACTTTACTTGCACATGGTGCCAAAGTTTACATTGCGGCTCGCAACCAGACTGCTTCAGAGGAGGCTATTCGTCAACTGAAGCAGGAGACTGGAAATGAAGCAATATTCTTGAAACTTGACCTTGGGGACTTGAAGACAATCAAGGCGTCTGCTGAGGAGTTCCTCAGGTAAGAGATGGGCCATTCATGAACTCCGATTTACCAGCTTCAAATTGAGCTATTTGACAGCAAAGAGACACAGCTCCATATCCTTATAAATAATGCGTGAGATAACTTTTTTGACCTTGACAAGATCTGTGGTACTGAACATCACGAGTGGTGTTATGGTACCGCCGATTGAGCTAGTGACTGCAGATGGCTATGACCTCCAATTTGGAACGAACGTCCTTGGTGAGAAACTTGACAGTGACATCGAGATGACCTAGGACTGATCCATTTCAGGCCATTATTACTTCACAAAGCTCCTGCTCCCCATTCTGATCTCGACGGCTAAAACTACTCCCGATGGAAAAGTTCGCGTTGTAAACCTCGCTTCCTGTGCGCATTTATTTGGAGGTCTCGATTTTAATACCTTCAAAGATGGCCCGGCTCGAAAGAAATGCTCAAGGACCAACCTTTACAACCAAAGCAAATTCGTAAAGCACTTCCGTTCGTGTTGTGGAATAAAGCTGACCATGGTACAGGGAAATGTCGTGCTTGCTCTTGAATTAGCGAAACGATATGGAGACCAGGGTATTATTTCGACAGCGCTGAACCCTGGCAATATTAATTCAGACCTGCCGCGTCACATTTTGCCTCAATTTCCAAATATCGCCAAGCAGATTATCGTAATTCATCGAGTCCTCAAGGAACATTTCCAATGCTAATGGGGTTGCCAGATCAAGGTGCTACTGTATGAAGTGTCGCAGGGCGCCCTCACGCAGTTGTATGCTGCCACGTCCCCAGAAGCTGCTAGCTTGAATGGCAAGGTGAATCTCGGGATTGAACTTGTGTGATGTTGTGATGCTGAAATGTCTCTAGTATCTTGCGCCGTGGGCTCGCGTCAGACCGCCTAGGCAGGAAACCCAAGACCCTCAACTCGGCAAGGCGCTGTGGGATTGGCTGGAGGAACAAGTCAAAGATGTATGATTCGAAGATGAACCCTATTAAGCATATTTGAATTGTAAGTTTCGTAGTATCAATGGACATCATCCCGACTTTTCGTAGTGCCTCTTTATCTACGACTGGTGAAAATGGGATTAAGGAGCAAGAGAAGAGCGAATGTATGCGGTTTTCAGCCTTCTTCATCAGAGGAGGAACCCAGAGGGATGAAGCGCTTTGCACTGGAAGCAGTACGTCCGAGCTTGGAAGTATATGTTAAGCCAATCGTCCGTGAACATGTACTGGCACTCACCATAGACATTTGCGCGCGTCGATCACGCAAACTCATTGATACGGACAAGGAATTAAGCATAGGTAACGACGGGACTGAAGGACCAGGACGGGTGGATGAGGTGAATGCTTGATTCGACGCAGCGAATGTGACTTGGCGCCGTGCCATTCCACCTGGAGCATGCTGAACCTGAGTTTTCAAAACGGACCGGGCTGGGGCCGGGGTCGGAGACGGGGACAAAGACAAAGACGATAGCGGTGACGGCGGAATGGAGATATAACATCTCAGGGGCGAGCGAAGAACTTCTTCCATCTTGATAGCCTTCGAGGTCGGTTGTAGAGGGATGGGTGGAGCTGCAGGTACTGATTCCGGCGTCTTCTTCCTATCTTGGTTGGCAGTTGGCGGGACAAAGTTGTCAGGCTTCGGAGCGGTAGTAGAGATATTCGAACTGATTGGTGCAGCAATTGATGTTGGGGAAATCGCCTTGTCCGCTCGAGCCGATGGAAGTGGATGTCTGCCCGACTGAGAGGAACCATACATCCTTTGAACATTCGTTGGAAAATTGGCTCCAGGACCGGAAGAAGACTCGGCAGTGGGCTTTCGGAACTGTATAGTGGTGTGATTGACTGAAGGAGGCAGTATGTTAGCGAGAGGCGTCCTCGTGGTGCGTTTGGGCCTTGGAGCTGCAGTGTAGCCGCTGCTGATCACAGAGCCACACACGGGAGAAGTCAACCCGTCGGCAATTTGGGATTCGCGCAAATCCAGGGCGTGTTTTGCCGGAGAATTCGCCGTACGAGGTCTCACGAGCTGAGGAGAGGCAGTTAGTAATATGCTGTCCAATCGCGGCTTCTTATGTTGAACTATGCGAGGGCTACCCGTCACCGGGGCGACAGAGTCGGGCCGATCAGATTGTGAGCGACCTGAATGTGTGTCGTCTTGATTTAACCAAGAATTGGTGCGCTTGCGGGTGGGACTATGCCCAGCAAGAGAGGGCAGGACTGCTACAGCTGATTTTGAAACACTTCGTATGCTGTTAGAAGGAGCAGATAGGTTGGATAAAGTAGACTTCATGCTGTCAATTTCGCGGCTCAGACTTGAGATGCTGGACAAGACGTTATCGGCTATGGAAGTTTTGGCCTGGTCCACATGCAAAGGGAAGGCTTGTATAAGTGGAAGAAGTGGAAGTACCGCGGTTAGTATTGAATGCTGCTGGTCCTGTATGGCTTGCATAGCATGATTCTGGGATTGAATGAGCTGTGCAATCATGCCTATCAGCTGAGTGTACTAGAGACAAAGCGGGCTTAGTAGCAAAAACATGAAGTACCGTTTGAATCGCATCCATGCGCTTATCTAGGGTTTGTATGCTGTTTTCCGCTGAAGATTGTGATTTCTGGATCAATTCGAGAGATGATGCTTGTGATGGTGCACCGATGCAAGCCTTCAACTCGGTTTGCACTTTCTTCGCTAAAAGGAGTGATGAGAATATAAACCGTCTCGTTTACAGGCGTTTCAAATGGGTTGCCAAAGCATATAATCCAAACGCACACTCACAACTATTCGAGATCTCGTCGAGCATGCGTTCACGTTCATTCTCTGATATCCGGTTACAGTTTACCACTTCAGTCTTTGCGTCCTTGACGTTAATGAGCAAAGTGTCCACTCTCGTGGAGAACTTTTCGAGGGTCGCCTGCATGTCGTGAATGAGCATTCGCATGGAGGTGTTGGTCCTATCGACCGGTGCCATTGCAGGAATCATGGGTGTAGCGGCAGAGTCGCTGGACGCCGGAAGATCCTTCTGGAGAAGATATGCCCATAGTGCATTAGGTGCTGTCTTCCGCTCGGTGCTCATGGTGTTATGGAGACTCATTGGAGAGTGATGGAAGACACTAATTTTTCCCAAAAGAGATCAAGCATGTCAATATCTGCGAGTTGATCGTCAGCAGCATGACGCAGTGGAAGCGTGCAGGGCTCATAACCCTGAGGTCACTGGATCGAAACCAGTTGCTGCTAAGTTTATTTTTATTATTCATTATAATTTGAAGTCGCGAGGTTAAAAAATAAGAAAGAGGCAGCACTGAGCAGACCTCTTTTTTATGAGGAATGAATCGTCGACGGGACATTTCTACAGCTACTGGTGCCTTGACACCCATTGAAAGTAGTCGCGTAAGCTAGTCTCAATTGCGATTGACCGTC